TTGTGCAGCCCTCTGGAAGCAGCAGGTCCACCAGACAGGCATGGCTTTTGCAGTGGCGGCTGGCGGAGCACAGATGTGGGGCTGGTCCCTAATTCACTGTCCTGGGAGTTAGGCCCCAGGTCAGCTTCTTCGAGAATGTACCTCCTTATAAGGAAGACAGCACACAGGCAGCTTTGCTTTGGTTTTCTCCTGGGTGTGTCAGAGAAACACAGGACCCCAGGGTGGATTCATTCACATGCCCCTGGCTGGTGAAGGTGGGTGGCTGTCACGTTACCCTCCGTGGTGCCGGTAGGGCCTGACCCTCTGCTTTTGTCACAGTGAGAGCGTGGTGACCTTTGCAATAACTAGTCTCAGGCAAAATTTTGGTCAGACTTTCTGGGTCATGGTTTCATCATTCATAAGCAGAGTCAGGAAGGGGACGGAGATGTGAACTTGACCGCCCCTTCCAGCCTTGATGTGCCACGGTTCTGTGAACGGTGAGCCTGCCCCAGAGGCTGGACAGGAGAAGCCAGACTCAGGAAGGCCTAGTCGCTCATTTCAGGCACCGCTTTGCTCAGAAAGTGTTTCCTGAGCACCTACTATTCCCCAGATTCAGATAGAAAGATGTGGCAATGAGGCAGCCCCTCCCTCCTGGAGAAGCGAGTGAGCAGGCAATCCCAGTGTGAGGGGGAGGCTCGGGACTAGACAAGGGCAAGTTGGGGTGCTGTGTGGGAGCTCAGTGAGGTGGGGGCGAGATCTCAGAGGAGACCACAGAGTCTGACAGATGAGCAGGAAGGAGTTGGTCGGTGACGCAGAGGCCCAGGGGGGCTCCAGGCTAAGGCACAGATCCCAGGGAGAGACTGCCTCAGGTTGACTTAGATCTTGGTGACAGCTAGACAAGTGGTCCACGTAACAATTCTGTGATCCCACAGGTCTCTGAGCCCAACTACGGCCCCAGACATCCTCTCCTCACCCCCTCACTTACCCTGGGCCCTGAGGCTTTTCCCCGGAGTCTCCATCTGGGGGGCACATGGCCTATACTGGGCTGGACCCCAACCCTCCAGCTCCAGCAGCTGGCCAAGGGCCAAGAGACTGAAAGTGATCCACAGATCCAAACTGCCCACTTCCCATCCGGCCACACTGCATTCACTAACCCCGGCCCAGAAACCCCCCTGCCCCTGTCATCATGGGTGTAGTAGGCAAGACAGACGGGTGACCTCATTTAAACCCATTTGCAAAAGATGTTTTGAAAAACCTGAACAAAACGTTTCCTGTCCCCACTGAAGCCATCATGCGCCTTCACTTGAGCATTAGTTGGTAGCTCCTAGGACACTTCCTGATTTGAAGAGTTCTCAGCACACCCACCTCCCCATGCTCTCTGCCTTCTGTCCAGTCACCTTGCTTCTCTCTCATTCTGGGGAGGGAATGGAGACTTGCCTCATGAGCCCTCATCTTATGAGCTGGTTGGGAGCAAGGGTCATTGCTGGGGCTTCCAGCACTGGCTCCTGCAGCGGCTCCACCCACTGTGCCTGCACTGGGCGCTCAGGACCCCAGCGGCCGACCAGAGTCGGGGCATCCATTAGCAGGTAAACGACAAGGGGACCGGAATCAGAAAGAGAAGAAACTTTCTGGGAGGCAGGAGGGTGCATGATGAAGGTAAGGCGACCGTTTCCTTTGCCAGTGTAGCCAAATACCAGCCTCATCTCAGTAGGCCAGTGGCTCTAGGGAAGTGACTGGGGGTGCTCACAGGGCCTACTGCCCAAAGAAAGGAACTCTGGTACAGGGCAAGAAGGCCTGCATCCTTTTGGCCTCGGCCTTTCTGAGATAGATGTCAGGTGGGTGGGCGGGCACCTCAGCACCTGCGAGCTATAGGGAGGCCCTCAGATCTCCTGCTGGGGACTCAGAGCTCTGGGAGCAGGGCTGGGGCAAAGTGGAAAGGAAGCATGGGCCCAATCTCACTTCCCCCTCCTCCCACATGACAGCTGTGGACCTGCCTGTGTGGCCAAAGCAGTCACGGGGCGCCGCATGGGAGATGTCCTCCCCAAAGATAGGAACTCTGGTGACCCTTCGGCTCCTTCCCTGGTGAGAGGGACAAGGAAGGGTCCTGGTGGACAAAAGAGAATAAGCAAACACTTCGATGATTTTCTGGAAAGGACTTGGCCACCACTTTGAAGAAATCTCATGCTCGAGCGCTCTCTTTTACATAGCTCTGTAGGCACATGCACTCGGTGTTGAAGGGGCGGCTGGAGAGCGCTGTTCTTGCCAAGAAACAAAATATATGAATGAGTGTGGCCCTCACAGCTCCCACTGGGAAAAGAAGCCTGGAATTAACCCTGAACACAAATCCCAGCATCAGTGTCCCTTATCCCAGTCACCTAACCTTCCTGTGGAGTCGGTTTTCTCATCAGCAAAATGGGCATACTTAGAGGCCCCTTCTCACAGGGTTGTTCTGAGGTTTAAATAAAGTAATGCATGGAAAGTTCTGAGCATTCTTGGCAGGGGCCTGGCACACAGCAAATGCTCAATCCGTTTTGGCTCTGGCCATCTGTGGAAGGAGCAGGGGCACCCTGTCCTGGCGAGGTCCCCTCCTCACATTCTGAACTGGAAGGTTCTGGAAGGTTCTGGGGCAGTGAGAGGCCTGTAACCAGGGCCAGGTAGGAGAGGAGTGAGGTTTGGCAGGAAGAGGTGAGAGCTGGCACCCGAGCTAAGGTGTGGGCCAAGAGCAGGGGGAAGAAGCCCTGAGAAGTCAGCCTTCTCTGCCTGGGAGGGGGCAGGGGTGTGCGAAGGAGGCAAAGAAAGAGGCTGGGGCGGCCATCTTGTCCAGAAGGGTGGATAGGTGCCGCCCCTTACAAGCAAGCAATCTTCAACTCAGAGGAAGCCCGAAGATGGCACAGAACATGTCTTGACCTCTCCCAGTAGTTGCTTTGAAAGCCATCAGAAGCCACCTCAGATGGGTGGCCATGGGTGCCTTCTCTTTCCATTGCTATCCTTGTCCTCACCGGCACCACCCCAGTGTCCCTTTAGCCTTTGTTCACCCCTCCCTGAGAGTCCTGGCCACTGTGAGGGACAGGGCAGACCCTTCCGGAGGAGACCCTAGGTTCTCAGGTCCTTTACAGGGCTACGAGCAAGTGGCCACCCACGCTTTGTCCTGCTGCTGTTGATGCCTCTCCTGACGTAACTTTGAGGCCTTCTCACACTAGCAAATCTCTGTCCATTGAAAGACGTGCGCCACTGGACTGTAAACTCCACCAAAGCAGGAACCTTGTCTGTCAGGCTCACGGCAGCATCTCCAGCCCCCAGCAAAGTGCTGGTGTGCAGTAGGCGTTGAGTGGATCAGTGGGTTGAATCAGTGAAAGAATGAATGCATGAAGGAATGGGTGAACAAATGATATTTTCTGGGCTAACTCAGGGAAGTTTCCTCTCAGGAAAATCCAGACCCTTCCATTGGGGCAAGCCCCCTCAGCTGCCCTGGCATGGGCTGCCTGCCTACTGTGCCCCAAAGGCATTATTGGCCAGCGCGCTGAGTCCCCTTCTGGTTTGCAGGGGACGCCCTGCCCCTAGGGAGCCGGGCTCTAGAGCCCTCCATCAGAGGCACTAGTGTGCACCCTGCCGACGGTGTTACCAGCTAGTCCTCCCCAAAGTAGTTTGCATAGCATCCTTCTGCTTGTCACCCTTCCTCCTGCTTCAGAGAAGGTCCTTGTTCTGTGCATTTGACACATTTCGATTGTCTGGAAATATCAACGGTTGTTCATTTGTTAAGCCGTCTTTCTGTAGTGAGGCCTTGTTTGTTTATTTCTATTCCTATGGTCTGCTGGGCGGTCTGTCATACGGGTTGTGGAGGGCATGTTGGTAACTTGGGGGTGAGGAGAGGAGGACGCGCGATGACCCCTGGACTAAAGTCTACACAGCTCCAACAGGTGAGGTGGAGAATCTGAGTTGCCCCAGGCCTGCCTGGCAAGCCTGAGGATTATTGAATTATTATTGAGCCCAACCAGACTCCAGGCCTGCACAGATCCCTGAGTTAGACATGGTGCCTGCCTTCTCCATGGTAACGAGGCTAAATATGGACGCGTTTCCATGGAGAGTCCTATCGCAGCTGCAGCCCTGCTTCCTCCAGGAAGCACCCGTGCTGGGTTCCATGGGCCTCTCAGGAGGCGGTCAGGGGTGCTGGGGATATCAGGAAAGAGTATCTCCCCTTTGAAGACGTTTGCTTCCAACAAGTGTTCCATGTCCTCAGCTCCTGGGATCAGCATTTTCTCCCCTTGACAACTAGACGTTAGGAGAGGTCACGAGTCATGCACATGAGCTGATTGGGGGAAGCGACGCTGGACCATATGAGCACTCGTGCAATTACCCCGTCTCCACCTGGTGCCATGGAGAGGATTTGCCTGTTATGGGGAGGGACGGGGATAGCGTTGGTCAGAGGAAGCCTGTGAGACAACTGTGCCGATCCATGTGCAAATGCATTGTTCTTCTTTCCATCAAGCTTCTTTGGGAAGAATGATTGCTTAAAAGAGTTCTTAAGATGGTTTCCATAACTGGGACGGCCCTCTTCCACTCTCTTAGAATGTCCTAACATGACAGGATCTTAATTTTGTTCTTAAAGTAAAGGAAGTAAATCTTTGCTGCTCATTTGCATGTGAGCAAGTCAAGTCTCCATGTATCTTAACCATTCCAATGGCAACGTGGAATGGAACTTTATGCTTGGCGAAAGCTAAACATATAAGCTGAGTATTAGGCTTAGAAATACTCTGTTTAACCTCTCTCGGCTGTTTAGTCATTACATCATCTTTGTTTATAGCTTAGTCGTCTGTTAAATTGGGCCTCTCCAGGCACAGCTGATCATTCGGGTGTGTTTGTATATATTAGGCAATATCTATAGCGTGCATGTGTACATAGGGGGACGGGTGTGCTCTGCGGTTCACCGAGATACGGAGACTTTTAAAAGACGTGGCGAGAGCACTTAAGGCAATTGTAAGTCGTCTCTGATGGAAGGTTCATGTTATGATCCTGCCTTGCAGGCCCAGTGGCATCAGAGCCAAGTGATGGATGATCTGCAGTCCCAGAACCTTTCCATGGACATGACTGACTCCTCTCCTGCCTTGGCCAATAACAGACTGGAGAACGGCATGGCCCAGCTGATCACCACCGAGGCCTGGAACATCAACTCCACGGACCTGGTAAAGAAGGCCCTGGTGACCGTGCCGGCCCCATCCATCCTGAACCCCCCGGCCGAGTCACAGGGCGGCATGGCTCTGAAGGTGGCGGCCACTGTGCTGCAGCCCCTGTGCCTCGGGGAGAGCCCGGTGGTGATGCCCATTCACATGCAGGTGGAGGGAAGCCCTGCGCCCGAGCTCAACCCTAACGGCCATGCCGCCTATGTCATGACCACGCAGGGCCCCGTGCAGCTGCCGGTGGTGCTGGAGCAGCACGTCTTCCAGCACCTCAACTCCCCTCTGGTCCTGCCGCAGGAGGCCCCGTGCTCCTCCAGCGCGATCCACAACAACCTGTTCCAGGGAGCCGAGGACCCCGAGGCCCGGCCGCAGCTCCTGGACCTGCGGCTCCCCAGCCGGCCACAGGAGCCCACGCTGCCGTTTGAAGCTGTGCTCCAGAATTTGTTCCCCTCGCAGGGCGCCCTCGGCCCTCCGCCCTGTCAGCCTCCTCCTGGATACGCCCCTGTGCCCCCACAGCCCTTTAACTCTCCCCTGTCCCCCTTGGTCCCCCCGGCCACCCTCCTGGTGCCCTACCCTGTGATCGTCCCCTTGCCCGTGCCGGTCCCCATCCCCATCCCCATCCCTGTGCCTCAGAGTCCTGAATCCAAGCTCAGCTCCGGTTTCCCCAAGCCGCCATCTTCTTTTGGCCTACACCCCTTCAAAGGCACCCCGAGCCCTCTGGAGAAGGAGGAACTGAAGCCCTTCGATATCCTCCAGCCGAGGGAGTACTTCCAGCTCAGCCGCCACACGGTCATCAAGATGGGGGGTGAGAATGAGGCCCTGGACCTCTCCATGAAGTCCGTGCCCTGGCTTAAGGCTGGCGAAGCCAGTTCCCCCGTCTGCCAGGAAGATGCGGTCCTGGACCTGTCGCTGGCAGCCCACCGAAAATCTGAGCCTCCTGTTGAGACACTGTATGACAGCAGCGGCTCAGTGGACAGCCCAGGTCATGCCGGGGGCATGGAGGTGCCCTTCGGCCCTGCCACCGCCCACGGGGCCTCGGCTGTGATAGATAGCCACGTGGGAGGCAGCAACCCCGCCCAGCTGCCTAGCCAGCCCAGCCAACCCGGCGGTGAGGTCAAAGCTGAAAATCACATGGAGATCGTGAGTGCGTCCCAGGCGGCCAAGGTTATCGTCTCGGTGGAAGATGCTGTGCCTACCATCTTCTGCGGCAAGATCAAAGGCCTCTCGGGCGTGTCCACCAAAAACTTCTCCTTCAAAAGAGAAGACTCCGTGCTTCAGGGCTACGACATCAATAGCCAAGGAGAAGAGCCCATGGGAAGCATGGAGCCCCTTAGGAAACCCGTCAAAAACAGGAGCATAAAGTTAAAGAAAGTGAACTCCCAGGAAATACACATGCTCCCGATCAAAAAACAACGGCTGGCCACCTTTTTTCCAAGAAAGTAAATAATGGCTTTTTAAAATTTTTATGATAATAATATGGGGAAAGGTGCATTGGTTTTATAAAAAGGCATTTAAAACAAATTATCTTTGTTAATTATTTTGGGGAGTAGTTGGGAAGCGGGAAGGCGAATTGGCTCTAGAGGCCCTGTAAGCTAGTATTGTTTTCTTTTTTAATTTTTGACTTTTCACAAATGAGTAAATAAGAGCAACCTATTTTTCAAGCAGATTGCACATTTTTTGCAGCTTTAATGGAATATTGGGTGAATCAGAGGGGTAAAAAAGCTATTTTCATTGCCACAAAGTGCTTTGATGATGTAATACCTAATAAAGGGTAGGATGAATATTTCACAATAAATGTTTGTTTGCACTAATTGGTTGCAGCATTCTATCATTTTTTAAATTTTCATTCCTTAACTGGTGTGGTTTGGCCAAAACTGTTGCTTGTAAAGCGCTACAAGTTCTCTGTGTTTTGAGACCTAAGCTCTCCAGGCACATGGGGCAAAGAAGAATTATATTGGCCTATGCCACCATGAAAGGAAGACTAGGAATATGTATGGACTGGAGCAAGCCACTTTCCCCTCTAAACCTTGCTTTCTTCATTTGTAAAACTGTGGCACAGACAAGGAAGAGATGGGGAGGTGAGTTTCAAGCACCTGAGGCCCTTTCCAGTTCACATAGACCCTGGGTGTGGAGAATTCTGTGTCTGACCCTTCCATAGACCAAAGCAGACAAATGTGTCTAAAAGGAAAATTTACCTGCTTCCTCCCCACCCCACCCCCTCAGAATTTAGCTGGAGAGGACCTTCTTTTCAAAGGCAATAAGAGCATTGTTCTGAATGACTGGAAATCTTGCAAGCCAAAAATATTACTGAGGACCCCTCAGAATGAGAGGTAAGTCCTTTGCTGGTGGATTAGGAGATGCCCCAGAAATGTTCCTGGCTTGGGGTAGAGAGACACTTGGGAGTGGGGTCGGGAAGGGAAGAAAAAGTCGCCCCTCGTTAGTTTAGCCCGGTGGTTCTCAACTGGGGGTGATGGTGCCTCCCCAGGGAACATCTGGCAATGCCAGGAGACACTTTTGGTTGTCACAGCTGGGGAGGATGCTACTGGCCTCTGGTGGGTAAGGAAGGGGGTCATTGCTGAACATCTCACAGGCGTGGGACCTCCCCCTCCCCCCCCCACATACACAGCAGCAGGTGATCCGGCCCAAACATCGGTGGTGCTGAGGCTGAAAACCGTCAGCTCAGCCATTTCTCGGTGGATGGAAGCGAGGCACCTGGATGAAGAGAACAGCGTAAAGCCACCCCTGCAAATGAGGCAGTTCAAGTGCACATTTAAGCTAGATCTGCTAGGCGGCACATCACACTTGTGTCTGAAACTGTGCTGGCGACAGACTGATGATGGCATGCCTGCTTTTAAACTTAGAGCTCTTTCTTTCACTTCTTGCAATTAGTATGTATCCAGCTGTTACCGTGAACATGAACAGGAGGAAAAGCAGTTGCAAGACTGTTCTTTTATTACCAGGCTCTCCGTGTATAGGGTTACCATTTCAGCTGGTGCTGTACTGAACACCCAGAACGGCTTTTCTTTTTCCTGCTCTTTTCCTGTGCTGTTAAAATTTATTTTTCAAAGTGCGACGTGGTGGTAATCACCAAACAGCCGTTGCTCGTCAGGCTAGCTAGTCCCGTTCAACGGCACCAGCCAGACCCCATCCCTTCTGCCTCCACACAGCACAGGCTTTTTCCATGTGTACGCCCATGGTGGGTTTCTGGCCATGTTTCCTGAGCACGGCGTGTGTGTTCTCGTCTCAGCGATAACAACACAAACGTGCCTGGGGGCTTGCACTTGCCGTTCACCTGATGTCTCTTCTCACCACGTTTGTGGTTGTCCCCACTGCCTCTGCTGCGCAGGGCAGCCTTCGTACACCAGCCAGCAGGGCCCCGCTCTTCACAGCACCCTGGGAAGACCTGCTGCTTACCTGCCTTTGAGGGAACAGGATTCTCGATTTGGCCTTTAGAAGAAGCCAGTGCTTAAAGCTGCGTGACATATAGGTGGAAAGGAAGGCATTTGCAGCCTCTAATTCCATTATAAACCTCAAGCCACAAAGTTCTCTTTGATGTGTCTGGAAATGCCCCTTTCTCCTCAGACATCAGTACTGGTTGGGTGAAAATTGTTGGCTCCACAGCCAGCCGGGGTGTGGAGTCAGCACGGGCTGCCCCCTACCCTGGGCTGGACTCCCACCCCCCCCACCCCCCACCCCCCCGTGCTACACTTAGCCCCAGGCCCTGCCATTCGTGGCTGGGGGGCGGGAGGGAGGGCTTCGGGAAGAGGCCGCTGTGGCATGAGGAAACCTGCCTACTGAGGTCTGTGAGGGCCGCACACGGTGTTGTCTAGGGACCGGGCTTGTGCCACTGGGTCAGTGATACCCTCTGCCTGCCCCCCTTCCCAGGCTTTGATGGAAACTGGAATCCACTTGGCTACCTGCAGTCCAGGGAATGAGGAGAAGAACAAAGGCCTTGTTGCTGTGGCCAAGGTGAGCCCACAGTTCCTGGTGGTTCGGTTCCATGCCCCCTCCCGAAGCAGAAGTTCGCAGCCTTTCAACACAAACTTTATGTAAGAATGATCAGCCTGGAACCATGGGTCCTGGTCTGAGGCATGTGATCCCCACAAGGGTCATGGGGGTGAGGGGGCACTGGCAAACTTCAAGCCCCATCATTCTTCTGCTTGATTCAGATAGCTTTGCTTGCTTACCTCCCCACCCCTCACGGGTGTCTCCACCCCTTTCAGATTTCAGCGGGATTTCTCTCAGACTCTTTCTCATGACTTATTTTCCCATTTCTTCTAAAAAAATGTTTGGGCCAGCTAGCCTAAAGAATAGCTTCTCAGATTCTTTTAGGAAATAGACTTAGTCCCCAGGAATGTTGATATTTGCTCAGACTTGTCAAGCAAGATGGCTTCAGCTGGCTTCAGTTCAGAAATGATAAAAAACTGGAATGAGTTACAAAAATCCATATTTGGGGGTAGTGATCCTCCTGGTAAAATAAAAACTAGAGGGAAAAATGAAAGATCTAAAGATGATACAGTTACTGTCCTAACCAAGGAAGTCCTTGACAGTGAGTAGGAAATTCTAAAGTGAGGTCAAAGATTTGTTTAGATTCAGATGCAAAGCTCTCATATTTTAAGAATGAAAAAGTACATCTACAGTGGTGAAAACTCCCAGCAAAAGGAGGAGGGGAGGAGAGAGGGAAGGAGGGAGGGACGGAGGAAAGGAAGGAAGGAAAGAGAGAGGGAAGGAAGGGGGGGGGGAAGGGAGGAAAGGAGGGAGGGAGGGAGGGAGGGAATGGTAGCCAACTACTGAGAAAGGATGTCAATACAGTGATTATCTTCATAAACAGCATAATTAATAGAGCAGGAAAGGATTCAGATTCCATTTTATGAGTGAGGAAATTGATGCTCAGAAAAGTTTTCTGCTTTCACTTTTTAAGTATCAACAACTTAAAAATACGTACTTTGCAATGATTCTTAAATATCAGGTTTGAAGCCCAATGAACCCACAGGAATTTGGATCCTTTGGGGACAAAACCCAGTATGAATTAGTGAAGAGTCTGAATTACAGATTTTTTAAAAATTATTTTCGAGACCATTCCAGTTGACTGGAATGCTCAGAGCACTTGGTACAATTGTAAAGGGGAGATTTCAAACTGAAGGGTGGCGATGCCAAGCCTCTAAAAGCCACACTCAAAAGCTGCTAAGCTGAAAACTTTAACAGCAGGGAAAAAAGCGTGAGAGGTCATTCTGGCCGACTTTACTCCTCATTAAATAAAAAAGGCAGTCTTCCAGAACAGCTCACTACCACCAGGTCGAATAACTGACCTCCCACATCAGCGAAACAAAATAGGGTGTATTTGGGGTCCTCAGGGTGCCATTTTAATAAATTGGTATTTATTTTAATGAACGTATTGGTTGCTTTTATAGTAAGTAGCATACCTGAGTGGTGGAAAGAACTAGTTCCAAATATTGCAAATAATCCAGCTGAAACTGTTATTAGACAAAGGGATTTCTAAGCAAAGTGAGATTATAGCAATGCCCTGCTGAAGTTAGGAACAAGTTCAAGTTAAAGGAGATGACTGTTGAGGTTTACTATATTAACCCAACTCGTAGGTTATTTTCCATCTAACTAGGGTTTAGATATACACTCAAAAAGTGTAGGCTCATCCTGCTGATAAAGATAAGTCACCTGGAAACTGTCCACCCTCTGCTTAAATAATTTTTTTAAATCTAAAGTTTGATAACCCAGTCAATTAGTAAGAATGTAATGAACCCCTCTACATCAATAGCCCCATGCTTGTCAGTCCCGAATGGTACTGGAAATTCAGTTTTGTTTATACTCCCTTCAGATACGGGCCTTGGAGAGTTTTTTGGTTTTTTTTTTTCAATGCAGAAATTTTCATTAGGTCACATTTCAAGCCGTGGTAAGAAACACCACAATGAACAGACCAAATTCTTCAAAAGCAGGAACTGAATCTTATTTCTTTGCCTCAAGGTTGCTCCACTTTGGCACTATTAACATTTGGGACTGGATGGTCCTCTGTTGTAGGGCCCTGTCCTGGGCACTCTAGGATGTTGAGCAGCATCTCTGGTCTCTCCCATGAGATGCTAATAGCCCCCCTCCCACCTGCCCCCCATCACCCCAGTTGGGACAACAAGAATGTCTGCAGGCATTGTCAAGAGTCCCCTGGAGGGCAAAGTTCCCCCTGGTTGAGAACTACCGTTTTATCCCCAGGGTTTGTCTTATTATACCCGGTCCACAGCGGAAGCTCATAAACCCTTTGCAGAAAGAATTTAATCAAAAAATGATCTGGAATAGAGACCTGTAGCTGGTATCCCACTCCTATTTTCTGGTTTACCACCACATGCCTGATCTGACCAGGAAACTATCATTTGGAAACTCAGTTCATCCGTCCAAAGGGCCATCACTCATCCAGCTTGTAACAGGGCCCTCTAGAAGCTTCTCCCTAGAAAACGGGGTTCAGCAAAACTATTCCACCTCCCAAGAAGGGCTGGAACTCAGCCAGTTCTGAAGGGATGCCTCACCAACACCATGAAACGTGAAGGACCCGTTACTCAAAATTCACCCTATCAAGACCGTTCATCAGTCTTATTTGCAAGGCAGCATAACCCAGGAAGTTACAAACATCGCCAGGAAGTGTTTTTCTTTTTCCTCATGTTTTATCTGAATTCTTGATGCGCTTGAGCCTAGGCTTTTGCTTGTCCTTAATGGCAACAGAAGCCGAGCCTCCTCCTCCTAGTAGATCTCTATCGAAACACCAGATC